TGTCAAGTGAGACCTGGGGCCTTCCTGCCGTGGGGGGCTCTGCTGAGATGGACACCTGATGAGCTGGGCCGGAGTGCAGGGCGAGGTCAGGAGACGCCTCGGGAGGCCGGGCCGTGAGGCTGAGGCTTTGCTGTTTCCCTGTGGAACTTGGACCACATGCTGCTAATCTCTGAGCCTCAGCTTCCCATTTGTGCAAAGAAGAAATCGTGTTCACTCACGAGGCTGTGGCAAAAATGAACTGAGGTGCCGGCAGCCGTTAGGTCGTGGTGGTCAGGGAGTCAGTATGGCCAAGGGTGATGATGACGATGGTGATTCAGTACTGGAGACTGAAGCACTCACCCTGAGCTGCTCCTCCAGCCATTATATTTTATTTGGAGACAGGGTCTCGCTAAGTTGTCCAGGCTGAGCTTGAACTTGTGACCCTCCTGCCTCAGCCTCCCCAGTGCTGGGATCCCAGGCTTCGCCAGGTCCAGGTTGTAGGGATTCTGGGTAGTGAAGGGGCTCTTTGTGGGTGGGGACAGTCCTGCCCTATGGCCTCTGCTTCGCGCATCACTGCCTCTGGAGGACGCCCTTGCTGTGTCTGCCCTTGGGTCTAAGCCTCATTTGACACTGGGCGATGTGGGCAGGTTCCCCAGGGGCAGTTGAGGGTCCAGGCCCCTTGTTTCCAGAAGGCCTGTGGTGGGTGTGATAGAGGTGGCTTTGGAAATTTTGCGAAGCACATGGGACACCGAGGCTGGTGGCTTGACTGTTAGCCTTCAGATTTGCCCCACTGCCACCAGTGGGGACCTGGGACTGGTAAAGACCCTGCCCGGGAAGGCCCTGTGTGGGGTCAGAGCACTTTATCAAATCCTGGTCCAGTTTACTTACTATTTGTTTATTTATTGTAATTTTTGAGACAGCATCTTGTTATGTAGCCCAAGCTGGCCTCGGAACTCACAGCGAGCCTCCCGCCTCAGCCTCCCCAGGCTAGCACCTCCGTAGCTTCTGTCTGGGTTCGAGGGTGACCACAGACAGCACGCAGGGCCCCCGGTCCTGTGGTCCTGTGATCCTGTGTGTCGGCTGTGAAATCACCCATTTTACAGGCATGAAACTGAGGCTCCACCTGCCCAGGGCTGCGGGTCCCAGGAAGAGGAGCCCAGGCTGTGGACCAGGGGCACTCGGCCCTCCCTCGTGAGGAGCAGGGGCTGTGGGAGAGCTGTCTGGGGCCGGGCTCCCTGTGCTGAGAGACAGCGCCCTCGGGGGAGATGGAGTTCTTGTGCCTGCTGCCCAGGCCCTTTGTGTTCCTTGGCAGGATCCCTGGGACACTGGTCATGTGGCATGCCATACCCCCGCATTGCAGCCTCCGCTTTTGGAGAAGCCAGCGGTCACCTATGTGACTCTGTGGTGACAGCAGATGGCCCTGGTGTCCCTCTCTGTCCATTAGTTCATCGATAGGGAGACTCTGAGCCGAGCATGTTGGAGTTTTCCACCTCCCTAACCCCTAGCTCTTTGAGATTATTAAAAATTGTTAGGCACTCTGGGAAGCTGAGGCAGGAGGATCTCAAATTCAAGCCAAGCCCAGGCAATTTAATGACTTAGACCCTCGAACTTGTGTTGATTCTTCCGCCTCAGCCTCCCAGGCGCTAGGATTGTAGTTGTGTGCCACCATGCCCAGTTTGAGCACTGGCGATCTTGTTTAAATTCCCAAAAACATTTCTTGGAAGTTTTCGAAAGCTGGGGATGGCTTCTGCCAACTGTGGAGTAAATGCAGTTTCCTAACGCACAGCTGGCGAGGAGTCACCCGGAGCAGCCTGAGGCTGTGCTGATGATTTCTGGCATCTCTGCCCTGGAGTTGATCCTCCATGGGGCCCGCCTGCTCCCTGAGCCACTCTGCTTTCACGGGGAGAACCCTCCAAGCGCTGGAACGACCTCATAACCTGGGAAAGCTCACAGATCAAACTGAAGAGGCCATGTTCAAGAATACAAGTGTGAAAGCTGGGTGTGGTGGCGCATGCCTGTAATCCCAGCACTCGGGAGGCTGAGGCAGGAGGATCCCTGTGAGTTTGAGACCAGCCTGGGCTACATAGTGAGTTCTGGGTCAGTCTCAACTACATAGTGAGACCCTGTCTCAAAAAAAAAAAAAAAAAGAATACAAGTGTGAGCCCAACATTCTGGGAGGCTGAGGCAGGAGGATTGCAAGTTCCAGCCCAGCCTGAGCAGTTTAGCAGCTTAGTAAAATGCTGTCTCAAAATAGAAAATAAAAAGGGCAGAGGATGCCACTCAGTGAGAAGATCTGGGGTTCAATCCCCAGTACTAGAAAAAGAAAGAAAGAAATAGAAGAAAACTATATGTTTATGTGTTAGTAACCTCAGAGTTCCTCAGAAGACACAGCACAGCTTACCACATCCCTGTCTGGCTGAGCTTTCCCTTGAAAACCTTACAAGGAGGGACTGTGGAACCTTCCCTCAAGGAAATAAAGCCCTGCCTTGCGAGCAGCTATTGTTACATTTTTGAGATGGAAATCAATAGATTTAAAAATAACTTTGTGGGTGCTGCAGTGCACACCTGTCATCCCAGCACTTGAGAGGCTGAGGCAGGAGGATCACTTCTGGTTGGAGGCCAGCTGGGCTACAGAGCAAGACCCCCATTTCAAAAACCCCAACAAAAAAAAACAAAATGGCAGGTCCGGGTGAATGAGGAGGCGTCTTAAGCTGTTCCACTGGAAATGCAAGTGTTTTGTTTTGTTCCCTTCTCTGCTTTACTTATCTTCTGTTACTCTGGGGTTATTTAAAAAACAAAACCTGTTCCCCCTGCCCAAACCTGATTAGCGTTTCCTCCAGCGCTGGGGAGCAGGGAGCAGGGAGCGACTCTGAGGAGGATCTGATGGGGCAGAGGAGGAATCCAGCTGGTTCCACTGCTTCGGATCTTCCCATAAGTCGGTTTCTTCCTTCAGTCTTAAACTTCAAAGGCAGCGGAAGGAAGTGAGGTTTGGGAATTGATGCCCAGCTGGTTATGCTGTGATCTCTAAATATTTGCCCAGCATTTTAAAAATTCTTTTATTATTATTATTATTATTGTTATTATTTTTGAGACAGGATCTTGCTATGCAGTTCAATCTGGTCTTTTTATGTATTTATTTTTTTGGTACTGGGGATCGAACTCGGAACCTGTTGCTCACAAGGCAGGTGGCAGAACCACTGAGCTAAATCCCCCAGCCCAATTTCAGTCTGGTCTTGAACTCACTATGTAGCTCAGGCTGGTCTCGAACTCACAGCGATCCTCCTGCCTCAGCCTCCCGAGTGCCGGGGTTACAGGCGTGCACCACCACCCCTGGCCCTCCCCTCTTCTCCCCTCTTTCTTTAAGGATTAACGGAGGTGTAAGATACACCTAACATAAAATGCATTATCTTTACCCCTCAGTGCACCGTTCAGTGACACCCACCGTGCCATGCACATCAAGTACTAAGCCCTGGTTTCTCAGTTCTCCCAGCCCTGGTCACCACCGCAGCCCTGCCTGTAGCTCAGTTTGCATTTGCTAAGGGGCTCGTATGACAGAGTCCTACAGCGTGTGCCTGCGTGACTGGCTTAGCGGTACTGGCCTCACGGTCTGTGTATGAAAATCCTCCTTTTTGCTGAGTGGGGTGGTGTATGCCTAGAAGCCCAGCAATTGGGAGGCCGTGGCAGGAGGATCCGAAGCCAGCCTGGGTTGCATGACTTTGAGGCCACCCTGGATGACATAGTGAGTCCCTGTCTCAGAAAAATTGTGCAGTAGGAAAATTCTCCAGTGCAGTCCACTGCAGACATCACCTGGGGAATCTGAGCATGGGCCCTCCTGCTATGCCGGAAGCTCTGTCCGAGGGACTTCAGTCCTTGGGAATTCTGTATTTCCTTGAAACAGAGTCCTCTAGCTCAGAGCTTTGGCCCCTTGGGGACTCCTATGATCCCTATGAAGCAAGGAGAACGGCAGGGCAGAGCTACAGTTAGTTTCAGTGGTGAACGACCCCTCTGGGGTTGCTCGCCTTGAAGGAGCTGTGGCCTTCACATGCAGCCAGTGGGTGGTAGGATTGCTCCTTCGTCCCGTCCCCTCCGGCTTTCTTTCACAGTGTGCAGTGCACATCCGTAGGTGGCATTTCTGAGCAGTATTGCCCTGGGCTGGTGCCCTGTGCGTTGGGAGTGACCTCGCCACGTTGTGACCGGCTTGGTTGCTAAGGGACAGTGATTCAAGGATGCTGTCCCACAACTCCTCACGGTGAGAAGCAGCAGGGTTACAATGTATCATTCTAAAGATATATCGCACCCACAATGGCCCTAGTTTGGTAATCCTATGACACATTCTTTTACCTTTAGGATACATTGTGTCATCTTTACAGGAACCAGGGCTTCCCTCTTGCCTCAGGTTAGTTAAACCTGTTAACTTGCAGACTTAGAAAATGTGTGTTACTTGTGGTTTGTGTCTCGATGTCCCCCCAGGGCCTCGTGCGGTCGTAGATGGGGCAGTTTCAGAGGTGGCTGCATCTAGAGTGTGACACTGGTGCCGCGCTAGGCTCAAGGGTGCCGGGACTAAGGGTGTGAGTGCTACCAGCCCTAAGTTTAGGATAAAAGGTCAGAAAGATGCTGCTAAGGGTCCTTCGTTGCTTTTGCTGTCTTCTGGTGCCAGGTACTGTTGCCCCTGTGCCATGTGCCACCCTGCCTTGGATCCAGCTGATTATGGACTGAAACCTCTCCGTGTATTTTGGCCAAGCGTGGTGGGGTTGAGCTCAAGGCTTTTGCACTGAGCTTCCGTCTCCAGACTTATTTATTTATTTACATCGAGGCAGCGTCTTGCAAAGTCCCTGAGTTGCCCAGATTTGGCTTGAATTTGTGACCCTCCTGCCTCAGCCTCCCAGAGTGCTGGGATCACAGGTGTGTACACCATGCCCAGCGCCATAATAACCGCAGTTTTGAACTCAGCAGGAGTCCCTCGTGACTGTGTCCAGGTGGCCGGCCTGAGTTCATGGTGCTGGTGTTTCTGTCCCTCCCAGGCTCAGACCATGAACTACGTGGGGCAGCTGGCCGGCCAGGTGTTCGTGACAGTCAAGGAGCTGTACAAGGGGCTGAACCCTGCCACCCTGTCCGGGTGCATTGACATCATTGTCATCCGCCAGCCCAATGGGACCCTCCAGTGCTCCCCGTTCCACGTCCGCTTCGGGAAGATGGGCGTCCTGCGCTCCCGGGAGAAAGTGGTAAGGCTTGGCATGAGGGGACCACCATGCCACCGTCCCGTCCATCTCGGGCCCTTGGATTCCGCCGCTCCCGGGCTTGACAGCGACCGGTCAGTTAGGCGGGTGTTCACCAGGGGTCTGAGTGCAGACACCCTGGGCTCAGGTATCGAGGGTGGGGTGGCTCCTCCACTCCCCGCAATCTGCTGGAGTCGCTGAGCTCTGGTCCCCTCCGTGATGAGGCTGTTTTGAGGCTCCCAGCTCAGGGCTGAGTGGGGGCTCTGGCCAAGGCTCCCATGTGGTCCCTCTCCCTGTGATCTGGGCTTCTGTTGTGGCGACTCCTGAGAACAGGTGTTCAGGGAGAGTGGGCATGAGGGGTCACAAGGCTGAAAAATACAGGAGGATTTACATTCCAAAAGTTTATTACAGTGCACGGCCATGAATCCCCTCCGAATCCTCCCCTCATGACAAACACCCTCATCCTATGGTCCTCACCACCTCCCGCAGCAGCTCTGGAGTCCTCTCTCCTGAGGGTCTGTAGCTGCTCTGTCCTGGCTGCCTCCACGTCCTGAGTGGGTTCAGAACGTCTCCCTTCATGACCACTGTGACTCTGGGGAGAAGCCGGGAGTCCCACGGTGCCAGATGCAGTGACTAAGGTGGATGAGGACACAGCGTCGTGTTTTTACAAGCTGCCTCTCTGTTGGATGGCACTTGCATTCATTATACTTTTGATCAGACCTCCTAAAGACACTCAGGAAAGAGGACCCTGGATCTGCTGTAGAAAAGTGGCAAGCACCATGGGACGGGTGTGTTTAAAGGAAGGGGAGGATTTTGAGGAATTCATGGCAGTCCTGGAAAAGTGTCTGCCACCCAAATGAAGAGAAACCATTAGAAAGTGACTAAATATTGCTGGGTGTGGTGGTGCACATCTGTAATCCCAGCACTTGGGAGGCTGAGGCAGGAGTGTCGCAGTGAGTTGGAGGCCAGCCTGGGCTACAAAGGGAGATCCTATCTCAGAAGAAAGTGACCAAATACTCATGCCCCTAAAGGGAGGCGGGGCCCAATGAAGCTTGGTGTGGCCTGTGAAGTCGAGGTGGAGGCTCTGAGCTGAGGGTATTTCCGGGGTCCCAGCAGGCTGAAGCCCAGTTGCTGGGTGTGAATTGCAGTTTGAACTTGACCTCTACACTCTCGGGCTCTGCAGCCCTGGGCCAGTCACCCCCTCGTCCAGGCTCAGCCTTTCTCAGCTGGAAAAGCGGGAGCTGGGCCAGCTGGTTGGGGAGAAAAGCCGTCCTCGACGCCATGGGCCTCAGGGCCACGCTGTCCTGAGCCCCCCCCAACCCAAGTGCTCGGGCGCATGCGCATGGGTCACAGGGCCGCCGGAAGTCTCGGGCGCATGCGCGTGCTGCGGGGCCGTCTGTTGCCGGAGGCGCGGGCGCCCCCTCGCTGTAGTGCGGTGGCCACGCTGCTCATTGCTGTCCCCCTTTTAGGTTGACATAGAAATCAATGGGGAGTCCGTGGACTTGCACATGAAACTGGGGGACAACGGAGAAGCGTTTTTTGTGCAAGAGGCGGATAACGATCAGGTGAGGTCGGCCGTGGGCTCGAGGTCTCTGACCGCGCAGTCCGGGGACCTGCAGCGCCCGCCATGTGACCTGTGCCGAATCACTTCCGGGTCACCGGGGCGGTCGGATGTGCCCTGGTCAGAAGCGGTTCTGAGTTTTATTTAGTGAGCGAATGAATCCCTTTTATTTTCTGTTTCTGTTCATTTACTTATTTTCATTTTTGGGTTTTTTTGAGTAGCCTCAAACTCACTACGTTCAATTGACCCATTTCAAGTGTGTGAATCCATGGTTTTATATATTTATTTTTTATTCCAAGGTGTATATCCCCCCACCTCCCCGTTTGAGACAGTCTCGCTATGTAGTTCAAGCTGGCCTTGAGCTCACTGTGTAGCCCAGTTTAGCCTTGAATGTGTGGCGATCCTCCAGCCTCTGCCTCCTGAGTGTTGGGACTTTTTTCTTTACTCTTTTCCTTTTTTTTTTTGTATCGGGGATCAAACTCAGGACCTTGCACTTACGAGGCAGGTGCTGTGCTACTGAGCTAAATCCCTGGCCTGGGACTTATTTTCTTGTTTCTAAGGAAGGAAGTCTCATTGCTCAGCAGCCACACACCTGGATGCCCTGTGTAGGCGGGCACTTTGGGCATAGCTGTCAGCCAGTGCTTTATTTTTTAAAAAATGTAGTAACTCAGTTCAGTGCATATTAAAGATTCGCAGTATGTATTAGTCTCCCCCCGCCATACCCCCGCACGTGGAAATGTGAAATCGATCCCCTTCCCAGAGAGCTGTGCTGACTGAAACTCAGTGTTTGCCCTTCACTCAGCTCGTTGCTCAGCAGTTTTGTTTGGCCCGAAATCCCTGATGCTCAGCTTGCTCTGCGTCTTCCTGTCTTTGGTGACAAGTGACTTTCTGATCTTCTGGGATGGGGTGGCCATGTCTCCAGGTCCCCGGGGCTGTGACATCTGTCCCCGAGGGAGGCCCCGGCCCTGCTCCCCCAGCCCTGGCCCCCCTGTGCCCTGCAGGAAGTGATCCCCATGTACCTGGCCACGTCCCCCATCCTGTCCGAGGGCGCCTCGCGCATGGAATGCCAGCTGAAGAGAAACTCGTCGGACAGAGTGAGGAGCTTGGACCCTGGCGCCCCCACCCCAGTCCTGCCCCCCGGTGAGGCCCTGTCCAGCAGCTCACTGGTGAAGAAGAGGAGGAAGCGGAGGCGGAAGTCCCAGCTGGACAGCCTGAAAAGAGACGATGGCACCAACACATCCGAGGACGAGGACATGTTCCCCATCGAGATGAGCTCCGACGAGGATGCGGGGCTGTCCGACAGCAGCAGGTGACCGTCATGGGTCTCACGGGGTGGCCCAGCCTGGCCTTGAATTTGCAATCCTCCTGCCTCAGCCTCCCGAGTGCTAAGACCACAGGTGTGCACCACTGTACCTGGCCTCCAAGATGAGTTTTATAAGCTTTATTTTTCCTGCACAGAATTTCTTATTCTGTTGTTAATCTGAATTTTGAAATCAGACAGTCCCAGTTATAGAGACGGATAAAGACGCAGCTGCCTACCGAGAGACGATTGGGAATGCCGTGCCTTTGGGGTTGGAAACTTCAGCTTCCCAGAGCAGAATTGAGGAACAGGGATGGAAACTGGGTGTGGTGGGGCACATTGCTGCAGTCCCAGAACTCTGGGAGGCTGAGGCAGGAGTACCTCAGCTCAAGCTCAGCCTGGGCAATTTAGTGACTTAATGACACTGTGTATGAGATGAAATAAAATAAAATAGACTTCGGATATAGCCCTGGACTCCATCTTCATTAGTGAGCAAAGATAGCCAGGCTTGGTGGTGTATACCTGTAATTCCAGCACTTGGGAGGCTGAGGCAGGAGGATCATGGCAAGTTCAAGGCCAGCCTGGCCTATGTACCAAGACCATCTCAAGAAATAAAAATGACTGCAGCACACACTCATATCTATAGACAAACTTTCCTTTTTCATTGGCATCAGGCCCAAAATTTAATGGACAGGGCTGGGGTTGTAACTCAGTGGTGCCATGCCTGCCTGGCAAGTGAAGGTCCTGAGTTCGATCTAAGTACTGAAAAAAATAAAAGAAAAGAATTTAATAGATACTTTTTTTTGCCCCCTCTCCCTCTGTTTTGGTAAAAGTGGCAGTTTTGAAAAAACTTTCATTTTGAAATCTCCTTTGCGGTTTCCAAATTCCGTGTCACTCAGTGTACTTTTTGATAATTGTTTTTTACATCTCGGTCACATAAAATAGTGACAGAAGGCATGTTGGGAGTGTCCCTTGGCTTCATTATTCAGAATTGAATATGTATTTTTTTCTGGCTAACCCTGGGGTGGATCGGCAGCAATGCTGTCCCACTCTGTGTGTTGGGATGAGGTCCCTCCACGTGGAGGTGTCCTGGAGCCCAGACAGGTATCCCGGGAGGCCCGGCTGAGTCTGTGTGAGTCCCTGAGGCTGGCAGGCCCTGCAGTCGCTTTGTAACCAAAGCCACGTTGGCTGGGAGCCTTTTGTTTTCCTTGTCAGACTGAGCACCTACATGTGGCCACAGCGACCTTGGGCTCCAGCTGTGCGTGACTGGTTCTGCCACCCAGGCCCAGCGCTGGGCAGCGCCATCGCTCAGGACTCTGCTGTGAAAGGGAAGGCGACTATCTTCCTGCCGGTGTATGAGTCCAGGTGTTTCAACGAAGACACTTTCGTGCTTGCTTGCTTGCTTTTTTTTTTTTGAGACAGGGTCTCACTATGTCGTCCAGGCCAGTGTTGAACTCACCAGCCCAGGCTGGACTTAAATTTGCAGTAGTCTTCCTGCCTCAGCCTCCCCAGTACTGGTGCATGCTTGGCTCAAAATAATCCTTTTAAATTTACAATCAGCCAAAGCAGGAACACACACACAGACCGATTGTGTTTACGTCTCTTTCCCCTCTCCACTGCCTGAAATGTGCCTGTTTAAAAGAGGTCAAGAGCCTGAGAATTTTTTCTTTCTGCGTGTTCTCTAGAGCGCTTCCTGATGATGCACCACCATTCCAGGATGAAATCCCTAAGGAAAACCTCCCCCCAGTCTCGCTGTACCCGCAGTCGGCTTCGTACCCCAGTTCAGACAGAGAGTGGTCCCCCTGCCCCAGGTGAGTCGTCTGTGTGTGTCAGGGCTCACCTGTCCTGGTCCAGGGGCTTAGAAATCAGTTCTCGAGCCAGGCTGGGAGGTGCACACCTGTAAGCCTCAAACTCAGGAGGCTAAGGCAGGAGGATCGCCTTGAGTTTGAGGCTGGCTTCCAGGGATGGCGCTGGCAGGAGATACTTGTGTGGCTTTGGGTGCTACAGGATGGCAGCAGGGCAGAGCTGCTCTAGGTTCCTGGTCCAAAGCCAGGTCCAGAAACAGTTGCTACTTCCAGGACCACTGTTACTCTGATGTTGTCCCCGGTCCTTAATCTGTTCTGCCAGATATGGAAATGGGTGTGATTGAAGAATACAGTGAACGTTTAAATTTTAAAAAATTTATTCCAGGAAGACACCGTGCCATGAATCTCCCTCAAAGGCTGACCTTGAACTCACTATGTAGCCCAGGCTGGCTTTGAACTCTCGAGGAGCCTCCTACCTCAGCCTGCCCATGTTAGGATACTGTTGTGCATAACCACACCCAGCCCGGATTTTAGACATTAGAATGGATTGTGGCAGTTATCAAGGGTTCCAGCTGTGGGAGGTCAGTGTGGGATGGGTGGGCCGTTAATGTCTCAAAACTCTGGAGGGTGTGGAGCTCAGGAGAACTTTCTGGGCACCGATCTGCTGATCTTGGAGACGTGACGTTCTTGGTTGTTCTACCCAACTCCTCTGCTTCCTCGAGGCTCATGATGGCATTGGGCAAGCCTCTGCTGGCCCTGCTGTGTGCAGCAGTGAGTTTCTGCCCCAAACAGGTCCTGTCCCAGCTGTGTGTGGTGGCAAATGCCTGTCATTCCAGCACTCTGGGAGGCTGAGGCAGGAGGATTTCAAATTCAAGCTCAGCCTGGGTAATTCAGGGATTTGGAGAGATCATATTTTGAAGTAAAAGAAATAATAAGGGCCAGGGATGTAGCTCAGTGCAAAGGCCCTCAGTTCAGCCCCCGGACCACAAAAAGAGACGTTCCACATTCTTGTTTTTACCAAGTCTTCAAAATGTGCTGTATATTCTGCACGTGAGCACAGAGCTCGGTGGGAACTGACCGCGTGGGCCTGCGCTGGGTGGAGCTGGTGCAAGACCTTTGTCCTGTTCTTTCCCTGGGTCTGGGGCGATTGCTTTGGAGGCGAAAACCGTAGTTTAGGAATAAAACAATTCCGAGTTTGTAGAAACCACAGTAGGATGAGAGACCTTAAGAATTTAGAGGTGTATTTTAAACCCAGCCCCGAGTACGTTTCTCAGCCTCTGCTGTTTTACCTTGTGGAGCCCAGACTTCTGGGGTGGATTCCGCGGGGTTGAGGAGGGCGTGAGGAGGCCCATACCCGTGCTGGTGGATCCCATCCACAGCACAAAGAATCACACCTTTGGGTTAAGGAGTTTGGCTTCGTAGGAAACTGACGCGCAACAAATGTACTTTCTGCGGCCAGTGGAGGAAAAGGAGAGTGAAATTGGTCTCAGGCGGTTTCCTGCTTGTGGTTGGGAGAGTCTCATCCATTTCTTGTCTACCTTCAAGCAGACCACTCAGCCCTCAGATGCCTCATGCCTGCATTTTCTTACAAAAGTCACCGAGTAGCCAAAGAATGGGTAGGAAATGCCACCTGATTGACCTGCGATCCTTTTTTCTGTTTGTCTTGATGTGTATCCCGCCCCTGTATCCAGCAGCCCGGTAGACTGCATAAGGAGCCCCCCTCACCTCGAGGTTGCCGCGGAGGGAGGAGGCCTCTCCAGCTCGTGCCCGCTGCAGTCTTCCTATCTCCACGCTTTGGAAAGGTAGACCAGCTGTCCCCCCCACCGGGACGCGCTCAGTAACGGGAGTCTGGGTCTAAGTCCTTTACCTCCACTAACCAGGCCCCTGGAGCAGAGGACGCTGTACCTGTAGATGCTACCGAGTAGAAACTTGGATCTGACAAATCTGTTTTACTAACTGACTGACTTCTAAAGAAAAGACGTAGCGCTTATTATTTTCCCTTTCACTTTGAGCATTTGTAGATTGTTAAATGCTTTTTTTTTTGGAAGTCTTAAAATTAAGTCTCTGGAAGTTATGGTTGAGGGTATCGTTCATTCCCCCTACTTTGGTGGGGTATTTTGGAAACTGGAATAATAAAAGTATTGATTGAGAATATGATCTTTTGTTTTATGTCTAGGATTGCTGGGCAGATAAACGTACAACATATTTTTAGGGTGCCACTTTAGTATAATTTAACTTTTCTTCTCATAAACATTTAAATAGCCCACTGGGCTGTGTAAATGGTGGATTTAGACATTTCCCCCTGAAATCCTGCAACAGAATTTAGAAGACTAGTGTAGGAGGTTGACTAACAAAATGGAGCTGGGATTTGTATGTTTGTATATTTGATACAGTTGTCTTAGATATTTCTCACACTTTGACTTACCTCCCTACTTTGTGGCCTCACAGGGTTTACTTTATAAACCTTACCAAATGAAGCTATGATTTTTTTTTTTTTTTTTTTTTTTTTTTTGGTATCTGGGATTGATCTTAGGACCTTGTGCTTGTGAGGCAGGCAGTGGCACCACTGAGCTAAATCCCCAGGCTTATGATTAGTTTTTACCTGGAAAAATTTCTTTTTCTTTTCTTTTTTTGTTTTTTCTGGTACTGGGAAAATTTTTCTTTTTGATTAAAGAACCAAATCAAGTTGGATGTGGTGGCCCAAGCCTATAGTCTCAGCATGGAGGGAGGCTGAGGCAGGAGGATTGCAAGTTTGAATCCTGCCTAATATTTTGTGAGACCCTGTTTCGAAATAAACACTGATCATCCGGGCATGGTGGTGCACTCCTGTAATCCCAGCACTCAGGAGGCTGAGGCAGGAGGATCGCTGAGTTCGAGACCAGCCTGGCCTACACAGTGAGTTCCAGATCAGTCTCAACTACATAGTGAGACCCTGTCTCAAAAAACCAAAACCAAAAACAAAACGAAATAAAAAACACGGAAAAGGGCTGGGACTGTACCCTAGTCATAGAGCAATTTTGAGTTCTATTCCCACTACTGAACCCAAACAAAAACAACAAAGAATAAAATGCCAAACAAGCCCCAAACCAAAAACCCAAACCTCAGGATGTCCCTCCTTAAGACATTATATATGAGGAAGAAAGACCATTTTAAAATGAGGAAAATGAAGTTACAAAGAGTGACAATGAAGATTTATAACTAATTTGTCTGAGATTGCTAAAAATTCTGAAAGCTTCCTCTCTCTCTCTCCTCTCTTCTCTCTGTCTCCCCCTGCCTTGTGTAGTCCAGGCTGGCCTTGAACTCAGGGCAGTCCTTTGCCTCAGCCTCCCCGGGTGCTAGGATTATAGGTGTGTGTGTGTCACCTGCCCAGTTAGGGCCCCTTGAGCCTCTTCAATGCACGTCATGTACCTTGGGCTGTGACAAATCAGACCAAACCCATCAAGGAGCAGTTGCTTAGACAATGGGTAAAGTCTGAAAGATGGAAAGGAAAACTGGTCTGCACTTCCTGTTCCGTGGAAAACTCTGCTGTGGTGTCTTCCTCTAGAGGAAGTGACACAAGAGAATAAAGATAAGAAAGAAATAAAGGGCATTTTCTTCCCAGCTGTATGTTGTTTAGTGCGGTGTTCGAATCTTGTACATAAAATTGTTTTTTTTTTTTTTTGAGGCAGGGTCTCACTACTTAGGCCAGGCTGGCCTCGAACTCATGGCAATCGTCCTGCCTCAGCCTCCCAAGTGCCGGATCACAGGCGTGGGCCCCTATGCTCAGCTATAAAGTTGATTCTTTTGGACAGTTGCTTTGGCTGGGCAGAAGTGAGACACTGTTTAGGTCTTAAAAGTAGAAATATAAGCCCAAGTTGGTGGTGCACACCAGTGATCCCAGCACTAGGGGGTTCTGGATTCAGTCCTCAGTACTGCTAAAAAAAATTAGAGTAGAAATACAGGGAATGCGGAGGCAAGACGATGCTGCGTCTTCCAGGCTTGCCTTCTAGAGAAGCGTCGTGATCATTTCCTACTGACTTAGCACCGTAGCGAGTTTCCTGGTGGCCGTCAGTCAGTGCCAGCTTCTCTGTTTCCAAGGCCAGTACAGACATGCAGGCATTTATGTACTCATGTATTTTGGTCTCGCTATGGAACCCAGGCTGGCCTTGAACTCGTGGTGACCCTCCTGCCTCAGCCTCCCGATGGGAGGATGACAGGTGTGCACCACTATGGCCAACCTGCGTGTTTTCAATAGAAAGTCAGGGCTGCCCAGAGCCCTTTGGCAGCGGTCGAGAGGAGTCACGTGATTTGAGACTTCAGGAGGGGTGAGCTCAGGGTGAGGTGTGGAAGGACGGGGACTTTGATTCTAGAACAAACGCCTTTTCTTTCCTCTGCATCTTCCTTCCTCGCGACTCTTCCTAATCCTCTCCCTGGAGTTCTGGCGCCTTCCTTCTGATCGTGGGTGCGGCGACCCCTGGTGGCCACAGGAGGGATCGCCGGAAGGCCCTTTCTGGGTTTTGCATTTGAACTGCAGGTCTCGGCCGGGGGTGCCGGTTTCTCTTTCGCCTCAGTGCTGGTTTGTGTTTGCTTCAGTCCCTCAGGCTCCCGGCCCGCCACCCCGAAGAGCGACTCGGAGCTGGTGAGCAAGGCCAGCGACCGCGCGGCGCCCAAGAGCAACCTGGAGATGCTCTGGCTGTGGGGAGAGCTGCCGCAGGCCGCCAAGGTGAGCCGGGCTGGGCGCTGTGCCCCGGAGACCTCGGGCTCCGCCTCAGCGCCACGGGGTTCCTGTCGGTCTCAGTCAGGGGCGTGAAAACCTGGAGCCGGAGAGAAACATGGAGCTGTGCAATAGCCGCATTGATGTTATTTATTTTATTTTATGAGACAGGGTCTCGCTGTGTAGTTCAGGCTGGCCTTGAATTCACTATGGAGATCCTCCTGCCTCAGCCTCTGTGTGCTGGGATTATAAGTGTGCGCCACCTTGCCTGGTTGCATCTATTTTATTTTAAAAATTTTTTAGGTACTGGGGATTGAATAGGGGACATTGCACTTGTGAGGCAGGTGGCGGCACCGCTGAGCTAAATCCCTGGCCCGGTTGCCTGACTTTTAAACACAGGACTAGAGGGCAAGGCGCTGCCTGGCTGGCAGTGTGGGGCCCCTCATCTTTGTCGCTGCTGCTCCTGCTGACCCCCTACCCCCAGGGTGAGCGTGACCTTGCCTTGTAGCAACAGATATTAGTTTTACCAGATTCACTCTGAGAGGCCGAGGCAGGAAGATTGCAAGTTTAACCCAGTTTGGGAAACTTAGAAACTTAGTGAAGCCCTGCCTCAAAATAAAAAAACAAAAACCAAAAAAAGGGCTGCGGATGCAGTTCAGGGAGAAGGCCCTAGGTTCATTCCCCAGAACTGAAAAGAAGAAATAATGGAAAAAGTCTTTGCCACAGAACGTTATTAACTGACTACTTTTTCTCCTCTGGTGTGACTCATTTTGTCTTTTTGCCTGTGTTCTGACCTTTCTCCTGTCTTTTCCTTTCTCTCCCTCCTTGCTGTAGTCCTCCCCACACAAGATGAAGGAGCCCAGCCCTCTGAGCAGCAGGAAGATCTGCGACAAAACCCACTTCCAGGCCATGCACAGCGAGTCCTCCGACACCTGCAGCGACCAGTCGCCGACGCTGGACCAGAGCCAGCTGCAGATGGAGATGCAGTTGGTGGCCGAGGAGGACCTGGAGGCTGTGGGAGCGGCTGCCCTGCCTGTGCTGGTGACCGAGGAGTCCAAGCCCCCTGCTGCCGGCACGGCACAGACGGCGAACAGGACGGACTCTCCCCAGAGGAAAGGTAGGTGGCTGGGCAGGCCGGGCGCTGACCTCCCGGCTCCAGCCCCGCCGAGGCCGCAGTGATCCGGGATGCGTATTGTTTTATCCGTGCTCCTCTGATGAGTGCATCTGTCAGCGTTCCTGCAGCTGGGACACGGCACCCCATGCCCCTGCCGACAGGACACGGTGGGTCCGGCTCACAGTCTCAGGGGACGCAGTCCATGGGCGGCTGTTCCAAGGCAGGAGCTTCATGGCGGAAGGGTGTGGGGGAGCAGAGAAGGGGAGCAGAGCCAGAGAGGAAGTGGACAGGAACCAAGGATGGTACCCAGGAGCACCCAGAAAGGAGCTTTCCTAGTTTGCCAGGAGTTTCTAACACAGTCGACAGTCAGGGTTAACGGTCAGAGTGTTCCTCATCCCAAGAGCTGGGGACCAGAAGTGTTTCGGACTCCAGGGTTCCCTGGACTCTGGAATTCTTGCACAGACTTTGTTGGTTGGGCCTCCCTCATCTGCAAGTCCTGAATCTGACTGCACACCTGGTTGTGTGTCTAATGATGACGTTAAGCTCGATCGTGGAGCCTGCTCTGTGCAGTTTTGTTTTGTTTTGTTTTGCAGTATTGCAGACTAAACCCAGGGCCTTCACACTGAGCGATTTCCCCATCCCTGTTTCAGTGAGAAACAGAGTCTCGCTAATTTGTTAGGCTGGGCTCAAATTTGGAACTTGCGATCCTCCTGCCTCAGCCTCCTGAGTGCTGGCTGTACCATCACTTCCTGCCAGGAGAGCTCTGCTGACTGGATCCCTTTGCACTTTCAGATAAGCGGAGCAGACATCTTGGTGCTGATGGTGTCTACCTGGATGAACTCACAGACATGGATCCGGAAGTGGCTGCCTTGTACTTTCCCAAAAAGTAAAATTTCTTTTACTTCTTCACAGCATTTTCTATATGCCAAGCATTAGTCTGTGTGGGCCTTGTATTCCCTGGTGTTTGACTAGAAAGTGGGGCCAGGTGTGGGAGTGCACACCTGCCATCTTTGCACTGTAGGAGGCCGAGGCAGGAGGATCCCAAGTTGGAGTCTAGCCCCTATTTATTTACTCATTTATTTTTTGAGACAGGGTCTTGCTTTTAGTGCAGGCTGGCCTCAAACTCACAGTGATCCTCCTGTCTCAGTCTCCCAAGTGCTGGAATTATAAGTGTGCACCACCAAGCCTGGCTCTGTTTTTCATTTTTGAGCCAGGATCTTGCTAAGTTGTCCAGGCTGGGCTCAGACTTGGATCCTCCCGCCTCACTGGATGACAGTGGGTGCCAACAGCCCTGGTTTAGAGGGCCTGCCAGGACTGGAGAGTAGGAGTGGAGTCCTCAGGCAGCTTCTCTTTCCCTGCAGTGGAGACCCCTCTGGACTCCCCAAGCGCGCCAGTGACCTGGGACCCCGCTGGGCCAACCAGTCCCCGCAGTTGGTGGGCAGCTCGGGCGTGGACAGCGGTGTGGAGAGCACCTCTGACGGCCTGCGGGACCTGCCGTCCATTGCCATCTCCCTGTGCGGGGGTCTCAGCGACCACCGGGAGGTCACCAAAGGTAGGGTGGCCGCACACGAGATACCACACCGCCCCCTAGTGGCCACTGGTGGGAAGCTGGGTGCGCAGGCTCCTGTGATTTCACAGCTTTCTCTGGGTGTGGGAAGCTCTCGGCCTCCTGTTCCTCCTGGCTGATGGTTAGCTGATGTCACAGTTCCTTTTTTATCATTTTTGTTTTCTGAGACAGGGCCTCACTATTTAGTTCAGGCTGGCTCGAACTCCCAACAATCCTCCTGCCTCAGCCTTCAGAGTGCTGGGATGTCATGTGTGAGACCTAGTGGCGCTGACCCCTGAACAAAGCAAACTTCCCTTTACACATACATATTTTGTAGGGTCGCTTGCACATGGATAAGCTCTCAGAAAATACTTGTGAGTGAGAAGGTGACATACAGCCTGCTTTTTAAACCTAATTTCCTCTCCATTTTCCTTTATCCCTTCCGTCTGCTTGCAGATGCGTTTTTAGAGCAAGCTGTGTCCTATCAGCAATTTGTGGACAACCCTGGGATCATTGATGACCCCAATCTTGTGGTGAAGATCGGGAATAAGTGAGTATTTGTCCTTTTGGCACTGCCATGATACTATTTGGGTTTTATTGTTTCCAATAGAGAGACCGGGACTTCAAACTTTAGAAATATACAGGACAAATTGGCAGAGTTCTGCACTATGGTAAAAAAATATAGCGGATGTTTAAATTTTAACAAATGAGTTACAGCAAAAAGCACACTGCCACGAACCCCTCACAATCTTCCCCTTGCTTTGAACACACTCATCCCACCGTCCTGGCCACTTCCTGCAGCAGCTCTGGGGTCCTCTTTCCTGAGGGTCTTTACCAGGTGTGATCACAAATACAGTGACCGCTGCCCCCGAGCTCCACCCAATGGAAAGGCGGCTCATGAAAACACGACGCTGTGTCCTCATCCACCTCAGTCACTAGATCTGGCACTGTGGGACTCCTGGCTCCTTCCCCCAGTCACAGTGACCATGAAAGGGAGACGTTTTGGATCCATTCAGGACATGGAGGCAGCCAGGACAGTGCAGCTGAAGCCCCTGTCCCTGTCCATCCTCTGCCTGTGCTGCTGCTGGGTTCAGTGGGGGACGGGAGCCCGGCAGGAGCAGCACAGCGGCTGTTAGGGGCTCCCTGGGACCTGCAGTTCCACGTGACCTAGAGCCTTGTCCCCCAGTGACCTCCACCTCTCCGTTTTATTAGGTATTATAACTGGGCCACCGCAGCCCCTCTGCTCCTGGCCATGCAAGCCTTCCAGAAACCTCTGCCCAAGGTGAGCTTTAACTTGAGAAGGAAAATCACAGCTGGGTCCCTGGGGATGGTTGGAATTTAACTTTTATCTTAGGAGCCACAGCTGCTTAGCTACTTTCTGTTAGGTTGACAGAATGAAATCTTTCTGTCCTTACTGGCTGAGATTCCAGCTACTTGAAGTTCTGAAAACTGAGTCAGGGGGATGAATGACCTTTGCCTTGCCCCCTGGGAGTAGCCTCAGGGCCGATCCGACTCTTTAGAAGTACTTAGACAGTATTAAATTGTACATGATCAGAGCTACCAGACCCTTGTCCCTTCAAGCTATCAATATGAATTTGCTTTTTAATGCTTGAGATTTTCAATCAAATGCATCTGTTAACATTCAGTTTATCAAACTTTGGGAATTTACATTTACTAAGCATACCCTGTGATCTTAGGTTTTGTTCGCAACTGTTTTATCCTGTACCATAGTAATGATTTCATGCTATGCTTTATAATCTTCATATTGAGGATATCAGTATCTTTATCAGGTAGCCACTTTAATTTGAAATCTCCTGGTCTTACTGATCACTAACGACTTTTTAATGCTTTCTTTCTCATTGTTGTCGTGTTGTATTTTGTTTGCTGTTTGTTTATTCTTTTAACACCTTCTTAAGTCTTCATGCTTAAGTTACCTTACTATAATTTTGGATGCCATTAGATTTTGTTTCTGTAAAATTTTCAGTCCACAAATAGTATGTTGCGTTTTCTCTGATTTCTTCTTTTGTTTCGTTCATGTTTCTTTAGTTTGCATATGTGTCCCTTTCAGTTCGAATGTGCTGAGTTAATCTCCTTTTGGTTCCACCATTTATGTTCCCATCCATTTGAAACAGGCCACTGTGGAGTCTATCATGAGGGATAAGATGCCTAAGAAGGGAGGAAGATGGTGGTTTTCGTGGCGGGGAAGAAACACCACGATCAAAGAGGTAAGCGTGGAAAACAGAGCAGTGTTTGTATTTAGCAGAGTTTGGCTTGGTGTCGTGAAGTTTGTTCGTCAGAGAAATAAGCCTGAGCCGAGCTGTGGCCCTGACCATGTGGGAGCCACCCAGGAGGTAGGTGATAAAAAGTGTGGAGGAGCACAGCTGGCTTCTCACCGGCTCTGTTCTGTTTGTGTGGGCCCCGGGGTCCAGCCACGCCTTCCTGTGAAAGTGCTTCATCTGTAGAAGGAAAAGGTTTCAACAGGATCATTTACTATTAGAAAAAAAAAAAAAAAAAGATACCTTCCTGGTGCCTGTGAAGACCACGCCATAGATCTTTGTAGTTAGTGCGCAGAGTAATTCTCGCCAGTCATTTCCTAGAAAGCCCCATCTGCATAGCCTTGTCAGGTCTTCACCTGCCTTGGCCTCCATCCTGGCTGCTTTCCTTTCTTACCTTCCAGGCCACCGTAGCACAGCCTCCTCCCCTCCCTGTGGCTGCTCCTCCCCTTGGGACCTTTGATTCTACCTTGAGCCTTTCTGTTGCCTGGCAGCCCCTTCATGCCCACACGGGTAACTCTGTTTTTATACCCAACTAGACATCTCGCTGTCCATTTACCCAACAGCCAGCTAAGGCGAATATCTCACCTGGGAGCTTTGAGGACTTTGCACTGAGCTGTGTCCCCAGCACATTTTTAATTTTTTATTTTGAGACAAGGTCTTGCTAAATCACCAAAGCTGGGCTCCAATTTAGGACCTTCCTGCCCCAGCTTCCTGGAATGCTGAGCTGTCAGGTGTGTACCACCTGGCCTGGCTGTTTTGTTTTTAATTAACTTTATTGGCACATTTTAGATATATGTAATAATTGCATTCATCATAAGGAACTTGTTTTGCTTTTTTTTTGGTCCCGGGGATCGAACTCAGGTCCGTGCGCTTACGAGGCAGGTGGCGGAACCACTGAGCTAAATCCCCGGCCGCATCGTAAGGAACTTGTACCTGGACCCAACACATCTTTCTTCTTTTTTTTCCCCAGTTGCCTCCCCTCCCTTCAAACCCTCTTCCCGGCCTTATTCACAGAAGTGCTGTTTCCATTTTCCCTTCTATTCTCTTTCCGCGCTTTCTTCCCACTGCCTGTTCCGCTTCCCATTGAACATATTTTCTTGGTGTTTCCCAATCTCTGTTATACATTTTAGTCCTTACTTGCCCTTCTGGTTTCTCACGTAAGAGAAACAGTGTGGTATTTAAACACGTGTGTCTGATTTATTGTTTTCTTTATGAAAGTGCTACAGTGGAACTCGTTAGATCCTGACTGGAAAATCCAGAATCCGGGGCCCCCGAGGTGCATCCCGAAGAGCATTTCCTATTAAAATGTGCAGCAGTGCGAAAGAGAAAGACTCCGATTCCCCAGGCAGAGCCTGGCCTGATAAGGCCTTCAAGCATTTCTGTCCGCCATCCCGAGGATGCGAGCCCTGGGGTGCACGCTGCCCTTCTCACGCACTTGCTGCACCAGAGATGACGGATTTCGGGGTGGCGCCATGAAGGCGATGGCAACAGTCACATTTCCGTGAAGAGTATTTCCCAGTGTGATCTTGTGGCCAGCACGAGCCCAGATAAAGGGACCCAGAACCTCCTGGGGCAGCCCTGGGTGTGTGCTCTGGGGTGAGGGTGCCCCACAGGGTCCTGTGACAAGGTCTCACTGTGCAGTTCAGGCTGGACTTGAACTCACGACTACCCTCCTGCTTCAGCCTGCCAAGTGCTGGGATTGTAGGTGTGTGCCGCCTCTCCCGGCCCAAGGCAGGAGCTTCTGTGCATTCTGGCCTCCTTGTATTTCCATCACCCTTTTCCCCTTATGCAGGAGAATAAGCCGGAGCAGTGCTTGCCTGGAAAAGGCCACAGTACCGGGGAGCAGCCGTCACAGCTCGGGATGGCCACCAGGTACAGGACGGGGGTCCTCTTGGGGTGTTGCCGCCCCTTCCCACACTCAGGGTCACATCCAGCTCAGTCGGATGCCGACAGCCTTCACTGGATGGCCCTGCCCTGGGCCCGTTACTGGGGTCTGTTACTTGCTCAGTCACCTGGCACGATTTATTTAGATTGCTTTTCCCACCCACCCCACCTGCTGGGGAAATGGGAGTTGAAACCAGGCGCTGTAATGCCTTAGTCATTCTTCTCATAGCTGGGACAAGATACACAACACCTGCAGTTCAGAGGAGGAAGGCACGTTGTGGCTCACAGTTTGCAGGTTCAGTGCGGTCGGCTGCTCCAAGGCGGATGTCGTGGCAGCGGGGCCTGGCCGAGGAGGGCACAGGAAGCAGGGAGAGAAGGGAGGAGCTGGGGAGCCAAGTTCGTCACGGCCAGGCCCTGCTTCCTAAAGCCAGTCAGCTTCCAGAACCTGCCGTGAGCACAGGTGGCTTTGGGGGCCTCTGGGTCTGAACGGTGGCCGGTAGGGAGAGCCTTTCACGTGGCGCTGGCTCCCTGTGCAGAAACCAGCGCAGGGGTGGGCGCGGTGACGATGAGGATGATGATGTTGACTGTCCCTGCTGAAGGAACTTGCCTTTCTGTGCCATTTCAGTACTGACAGGGACTTTCCTAAGTGTTGATACAGACATTATCTTGGCGCAGGGAGACAGATTGTGAGGAAGTTGGTCGAGATGGATGACTTGGGATTTGAGAGCGGCTCGAGTCCGCCGGGGTAGGCTCCCCAGTGACAGACAGCAGGTGAGCCGTGCGGAACGCTCTGTGGGCCTTCCCTCACCTTTGAAGCACCCCTCGCCTACGGAAACCCAGGACTGCACCGGCATGCCCGTCGTGCCAGCACCCTCGGAGGCTGAGGCAGGAGGATCCCAAGTTTGAGCCCAGCCTTGCCTTCTCAGTGCCTTAGTGAGACCCTGTCTCAAAATAAGAAATAAAAAGGGCTGGGGATGTCGCTCCTTGTGGAGGCCCTGGGTTCCATCCCCACTACTGCAAAACATTAAAAGAGAAGGAAAGCACTAACAGAAGGACTGAGGGCATGCCCGCCTTGGAGCAGAGGGACCCGGATGTGTGCGTTCTCCCTGGATCCCGTGGTCGGGTTGCAGGGGACGCCGGCTGCAGTTCTGGGTGCTGCAATCGCTGGCCGCCGCTCTCCTTTCTAGAATCCCAGGGAGAAGTGGGATCACTTGTCTGGGTGCGGAGGCTTTCTTTACGGCTCACTGTGCAGAGGGCAGGGTGCAGCCGGGACGCATCTCTGTTTCTGAACGTGGCTTTCCGTGGGACGTTCTGGAAAGGGTCCTTCTGTCGGTGGGGCGAAGGAAGGCCCCTGCCGGCCTCGGTCCACTGCCGCCGTGATGGAGTTTTCCTCCCCACGCAGTCGCAGTCACAGTCGCTGGTAACGAAGGAGGAGCCACTCATCTCCCCGAGGCAGCCACGCTGCTCCTGTGACAAAGGCAGAAGTGATGCTGGTGCTGTAGCACTGAGGCTTTGAAAGCGCTCCCCAGAAACTTCCCCCGAGAAACCAGAAATCCTTTCATTTCCACCGCATCGTCCTCGGCTGTTAGTTTCCTTATTAGCGTCATGTAGATGCCTTAAAAAACCACAAGGCACAGAGAGAGGTGCCGGGTGTTCTCCCACCTGACAGGCGCCACTGACGAGCGGAGCGGCCTGGGATGGAACGGTCAGCTCGGCTCTGGGAGTAATTACAGCGCCCTTTGGAAAGCGTGCGTGTGACAGCGTCCAGTTAGGTGCTGTTGACAGCTGCGTGTCAGGACGCAGATTTCCTAATGAGAGGAGGGAGCCCTTTGGGTTTTGTTCTGTTTTGTTCTTTCTCTTGGTTGTTTTGAGACAGGGTGGGAAGAGAACCTGGAGGTGATCTGATGCTCTTTTTGAGACAGGGTCTCTCCATGTAGTGCAGGCTGGCCTTGAACTCACCGTGCAGCCAGGCTGGCCTGCCTTCAACTCTTGGTGATCCTCCTGCCTCAGCCTCCTTAGTGCTGAGGTCACAGGGGAGCCTTTTGTGTTAGTTTGTTGCTGCTTGCAGAGGCTGACAAGCAAAAGCCACATTCAGTGAGCCAGTTCCAGGGACATTTTGAAAGTGCTGCCATCCGGCTGGCTGTATAAAGCTGCTTTAGTTTTAAAGTTTTTTTATCTGTGTTTTCTGCTTTCCTCAAATGAGGTGTGCTGCATGGATTCCGTGGGCTTTTTTCTGCTTCTTTACAGAAGCAGGTGGAAGTCACACGATACTCTCCAGGAGAGAGGGGGGTCGGTCCCAGAGCCCTGGCTCACATGCGGGTCCCCTTCCACTCTGAACTGTCTGCTGGGAACACAAACATTTTCCTAGTCTGTGAGGAGCCAGTAGCCTCCTCCTTCTGCTTGATGGGTGAATCTTTGCCCCAAGATCGAGCCGTCCCCATGGGAAGCCTCTCTGCTGTTGGTTCTGAAGAACCAGCATTTTGTGTAGGATCCGCAGGCTGGGAACCGAGGGGCCTTGGGTGAAATGCATCATCTTCCCGATGGGATTTGAGGCCCATCCAGGGCTTCTGGTCAGGAGGCTTCTCCTGGACTCACATCTCCTGGTTCCCCCTTTTTTTTTCGGTACCAGGGATGGAACTCAGGTCCTTGCCCTTGGGAGGCAAGTGACGGAACCACTGAGCTAAACCCCCAGCCCTCCTGGTCCCCTTCTTTCTGTCACCTGCCCACGGCCTGAAATTTTTGATGGAGGAGGATGCAGTGTGTTCCCCTGCATCTTAAGGAAAACAAGCCTGGTGTGGCGGGCATATCTGTCATCCCATCACGCTGGGAGGCTGAGGCAGGAGGATCGCAAGTTCAAGCCCAACCTGGGCAACTTATATTGTGAGACCTTGTCTCAAAATAAGAAAGGGTTGGGGATGCAGCTCCGTGTGAAGGCCCTGGGTTCAGTCTCCAGCACCACAAAAAAATTAAGAATTAAAAAGAGAGAGCCATGACAGCGTGAGGAGAAATGGCAGCCCCTGCATGGGTAACCAGGTGGTTACCCAAGTGGGCGCCTGAGGTTTCCAGATAAACTCTGGTGCCCTGGCCACACTGATATCCTGTGTGTTCCAGAGTGAAGCACGAATCGTCCTCCAGTGACGAGGAGCACGCGGCCGCCAAACTGGCCCCTGCTGGCCACCTGCCTCTGCTGTCCAGCGTCAGCTACAAGAAGACCCTGCGGCTCACGTCGGAGCAGCTGGTGAGTCCCGAGCTGGTTGTGTGGGCCCTGGGGGCGTGGGGAGGCGGGGGGGGGGGCTCCTCACTCTGCTGCCCAGCACAGCACCCTCAGCCCCACAGTGACCTCTGGCGGCCACACACCCCTTCTTTCTGTTTGGTTTTTGAGACAGGGTCTCGCTGTGTAGTTGTGATCCTCCTGCCTCAGCCTCCTGAGCGCTGGGACGATTGGTGTGGGCCACGGTGAGACAGGAAAGGCGAGCGGGAGGTCCGTTAACTCACATTTAAAAAACTGGTGTAAATTAAGAAGCCGTGAAAGCAGTGAGGTTGATCTCGGCCAGCAGGGGCTTTGTTGATTGTGGTGGTGCATGCAGCCTGTGGGTCCCCACTTCTGCTTGGGCCCCTTCTCTCCTGCGTCCTGCTTCACACCATGCCCAGTTGTGACCAGATATCTTTTCTCTGCCTTTTCCCAGTCTTTCCCGTTCACCCCAAGGGTGAGTGGGGTGCAGGCACGGTCCCCGAGGAGCTAATGGAAAAGGGGACAAATGGCCGTGACCCCCGCGCCAGCCCCGTGTGGGCCCTGCAGCCTCTGGTCCTGCTACCCTGGGGCCCTGGGGACCCTGGGGATTGGAGCAGCCGATCGTGAGCACCTGGGCTGCCCAGGCTCCCTGCTCCACACTCATGTTCTTCCTCGGTCTGGACTGTGGTCTCGCGGCTGTGAGCTTTAAATTCAAAGCTTAAATTTCTGCATGGCAGAGAAGCCACCCTCACTCTGTGCCTTCTTCTCTAGCAGCCCTTGGTGTTTTTCAGAAAAGTTTAAAGTTGAAGAACGGCCCCAATGACGTAGTCTTCAGCGTGACCACACAGTACCAGGGCACCTGCCGGTGCGAGGGCACCATCTACCTGTGGGACTGGGATGACAAGGTCATCATCTCTGACATCGACGGGACCATCACCAGGTAGACAGGGTCTCGCTCAGTCACTGAGTTGCCTGGCTGGGCGAGCTGTTGGGATCCTCCTGCCTCAGCCTCCCAGAGTGCTGAGATGACAGGTGTGCATCGCCACACCTGGCTCCTTTGTGTTTGTTACGTGGCATGAGTGGCTTGTTGCCTCCTAATGGGCTCTGGTTTGTGCCTTGCGGTGGCTCTGTACCACTTCTGTTTCCCATCTTCCTTCAGGTCAGACACGCTCGGCCACATTCTGCCCACGCTCGGGAAAGACTGGACCCACCAGGGTATCGCCAAGCTGTACCACAAAGTGAGCCAGTGAGTATGGGGCTGGGCCGGCCTCGCGCTCCAGGGGACCTGCCTGCCACCCATGTGGGGTGATGGCGGGGAGGCCTTGGGCCGTGGACAGACCTGCTCCAAGTACATAAGTAAAGGGCTAGGGTGGGGTTAGTGCGGGGGCTCTGGGTCCATCCGCGTCTTTGTGCTGGGCGTGGTGGCGCGAGCCTGTCATCTGAGAACCTGGGAGGCTGAGGCAGGAGGATGGCTGCAAGTTGGCAGCCAGCCTGGACTATACAGCAAGACCCTGTCTCAAAAAGAAAAAAAGAATTCTGTGTTTGCTGCCGTTGACAGTGTTTTGTGCCTTCCAGGAACGGGTACAAGTTTCTGTACTGCTCAGCACGCGCCATCGGCATGGCTGACATGACACGCGGCTACCTGCACTGGGTGAACGAGCGCGGCACGGTGCTGCCCCAGGGCCCGCTGCTCCTCAGCCCCAGCAGCCTCTTCTCTGCGCTGCACAGGTGCTGCCTGCCGCCCGCTCCTCCCTCTCCTCCGGGGAAGTTGCAGGGGTTGCAGCGTAGGGGGAGCCCAGAGTTCTGTGCAGAGCTGCGTCCCCAGCCTTCATTTTTTATTTTGAAACAGTCTCTCGTGGAGTCGCTAGGTTGCCGGTTGGGCTCCAGCCTGCGCCTCCCGCGCCTGGGGCTTTCTGTCCCTTGGTGTGAGGAGCTCTGCCTCTCCCTATGCGGGCCCCTGACCCCAGGGCCAAGCTGTTGACGTTAAAAGCGGCTTAATGGGGATGAGGTTCTTGCCCTGATCTGTTACTTATTTGCTGGTTTTAACAGAGAAGTGATTGAGAAGAAACCGGAAAAGTTTAAAGTCCAGTGTTTGACAGACATCAAGAACCTGTTTTTCCCAAACACGGAACCCTTTTATGCTGCTTTCGGGAACCGCCCGGCTGTGAGTATTTATGCCCGGATGCATGGGGCTCAGGAAACTGCCCTTTCCGACAGCCCAGCCCGCAGGCCCTGGCCGTGCACTGCCGCTCCCCGTCCGTTAAAGCCAGCCTGGTCAGTGACCACCTCACGAGCTGGGCGTGGTGGCCCACACCTGTCATCCTAGCAGTCTGGGAAGCTGAGGCAGGAGGATCACAAGTTCAAGCCCAGCCTGAGTCACTTTGTGAGACTCTGTCTTGAAATAAAAAACAAAAAAAGAGCAACGGATGTAGCTCAGTGAAAAGGGTCCTGAGTTCAATTCCTAGTACTGCAAAAGAAAAAGAAAAAAAAAGGCCACATTTAAAGCAAAGGGATTCAGTCACCCTGCGCATGGTCTTCCAGGAAGCCGGGCCCATGGGTCTGACCAGGAAATGGGAGCAGCAGCCTCAGGCCCCACTCTGCTAGCTAAATGAGTAAAGCGTGAGCTCTGGACGCAGGAGGCCCTTCCCTTGGGGTGTGCCTGGGTGGGGTGAAGAACCGCACACCTCCACTTTCTGGTTTTTTGAGACAGGGTCTCACTGTGTAGGTGAGACTGACCTGGAACTCACTATGTAGCCCAGGCTGGTCTCGAACTCACAGCGATCCTCCTGCCTCAACCTCCTGAGTGCTATGATTACAGGTGTGAGCCACCACACATGGCCAGCTTGTTTGTTGAGTGTGGTCTCACGCGCTAATGGGGTGCTTGGCACACGTAGTGGGTGTGGCCTGGAGTGACCAGCAAGTCCATTATGTGGAGGGCGGAGTCAGGCAGGAAGTGCTCATTCGGAAGCGCTCCTGCCTGTAAAATCTGAGAGTGAGGCCAAGGATGTGGCTCCGTGGCACCGCACCTGCCTGGCAAGCGCAAGGTCCTGAGTTTGATTTCTGAAACCGGAAGTTTAGAAATCCGCGACCAGTGTTCCCAAAGTGGGAAAGGAGTTGGAGAAGACCTCAGGGAGTGCTGGGTGGCAGGGGCCATGGCAGGGTCCTCCTTGATTCGGGTCCCTAGCGGTGACAGAGGGGCTCAGGTGGAAGGCGGGTCTTTTGGCTGCTCTGCGAGGGAGAACCCAGTGCCCCTGCCTCACACCGCAGTGCAAGCGTGGCTCGCAGACTCAGTTTGCTCACTGTCACTTCCGTGCTTTGCTGCCCCAGGATGTGTTCTCCTACAAGCAAGTGGGGGTCTCTCTGAACAGGATCTTCACGGTCAACCCCAAGGGAGAGCTGGTGCAGGAGCACGCTAAGACCAACATCTCGTCGTGAGTGTCCCCAGGCCTCGCAGTGGACAGCCATGCTGCCTGCGCTTCTCTTAATCCCTGTGAAAATATATATTCTAACCAGACACCTGTCATCCCAGCTCTCTGGGAGGCTGAGGTAGGAGGATCTCAAATTCCAGCCCAGCCTGGGCAATTTGGTGACTCAGAAAGACCCTGCCTCAAAATAAAAACTAAAAATGCAGCCTGGTATGTGCCAAGGAGGCTGAGGCAGGAGGATCACTGTGAGTTTGAGGCCAACCTGGGCTCCACAGTGAGTTCAAGGTCAGCCTGAACTACATAGACCTTCCCTGAAAAAGACAAAGCAAAAAACAAACAAAAATTTAAAATAGATTCAACTTTGCAGTAGAAAGGAATCGAACAGTAGTTTAGATTTGATTTGCCGAGTTAGGCTTGAAGGCCTAGAATGTGAATTAAAAATGTAGGCCGGTTGGATATGCGGGGCTCTGTATTTCTTCACGCAGTGAACTCTTCTCCCTCCTGTGTAATTATTAAGACTGCTTTTTGTATTTTTGGTTAAAGTTTGCTTTGTCCCAGTCAGTGGGCTGGATTTCTGAGTTTGGTTTTGTTTTGTTTTGTACTCCTGGGAATCAGGGCCTTCTCACTGAGCTACATCTACTTGCATTCATTCTTTCATTTGTTTTTTATTTTGAGACAACTTCTTGCTAAGTTGCCCAGGCTGGACTTGAACTTGGGATCCTCCTGCCTCAGCCTCCCTAGTGCTGGGATGACAGGTGTGCTCTGCAGGCTGCAGGGAGCCTGTGTCCACAGAAGCAGCAGCTGCAGCCGAGCAGGGATCCCGGGCTCCTCCCTGAGTCCTGAGGCTCAGGCCTTGGGGCTGGAGCGGCTGTGACAGTGCGCAGCTCTCTTCCTGGCTGGGTGGCTGCACCACGAGGCTGTCCCGTCTTGGTCTTGTGCAAGCGTGCCGTGTCCCCCGGGGCCCTCCGAGCTGCTTGTCCTGATTTAGCAAATGATCAGCTCATTCTGAGTGCTCTGGGCGCAGGCGCGGGACGTCTGCTGTACACTTCTGACTGGCTCGGTGACAGTGAGCTGTGCCTTCCCTTACAGGTACGTGCGGCTGTGTGAGGTGGTGGACCACGTCTTCCCGCTGCTGAAACGAAGCCATTCTTCTGATTTCCCCTGCTCGGACACGTTCAGCAACTTCACCTTCTGGAGAGAGCCGCTGCCCGCCTTTGAAAACCAGGGCGTCCACTCGGCCTCAGCCTGACCGGGATTGCTGGGCTCCTGCGACAGTGCATGAGGGAGCCGGTGTCCCCAGACAGCTTGGCCGCGAAGCCCTGCTCTGTGCCCAGCCGGGAGAGGACCGAGCCGCGCTTCTGCTCCTCCTGGTCTGGGTGTCATCTTTAGAGGCAGCGACAGATGCGTGCAGTGCTGTGCTCAGTCGTGGTCACCACGCGTGCCCAGCTCGCTCCAGCGACTGGTTCTCGATGTGCAATAGGGGGTCCTGCCCCGCCCCCCCCGCAGAATGCTGGCGTGCAGTCCCCAGCCCAGGTGGGGGCCCTGTCTGTCAGTCAGTCCGACAGTCCGTCTGTCCCCTCGCTAGGTCTTCCCTCCTGCGGTGCAGGCAGCTGTGCGCTGGTTCATCCCTGCCCTCCCGTGCTCCATGCTGGAATATTTTGCCTTAATGCACCCGGGGTCTGGTGTAGAACTCACTCCTCTCGCTCTCAGCAACTTCGCAACGCCTTAAACCAAAATTGTGGTAAACAAACACGGCGTTTTGAGGTCAGAACTGCGCCGTCCAGAGAGGCTGCGCCAGGAGTCGGTCAGGGTCTGGAGCGGCTCGCGGCTCCAGTGTCACAACCTCAATTTTTATTGGGAGGTCTTGAAAGAGACGGGTGGTTTTAAGACAGTAGTTTCAAGAAGTTGAGCCATATTCTTAGCGGTGTTATTTATTGCTTTACTCCGATTGGTTGCTGCTGGAAGCCTCCCAGCCATGGGCTTTCAGTGACAAATGTCATGAGTACAGTAAAAGGTGAGTTCACCAGGCCAGCCGGGGGCCTCATCTGCGCTTCTCACACAAAATAAGTTATTTTTCTCAGCTTTTCTTTCCTGCCCAAATGAAGGGTGGGTGGGGGGAAGTAGGCATCAGAGTGACTTTTGAGCCGGTTGGTAGCATATGGCTCCTTCGCTTGTGTATTAAGCTGCCTAGTGGCGAGTACGATGTGAAAAGATGAACTATTTTGGTAAAAGATTTCACTTTGGTTTTTGAAATAATATTTTTTAAAAGTGCGTTTTACTCGGTTGGCTGAAAGGCTTTCCTGTTTAAATTGCATTGTTATAGAGTCTTAGGAGGCAGGAGAACAAACCAAACAGAACAGTGGAAGGGAATGTTACTCTTTCTGTGAAAGAACCCGGAGTCCTCGCCTTGGCCGGACTTGGCGGGCGCTGGTGGGCAGGGGCGGACGGCTTTGTGGACACACACAGGAGGGGACATCGCCTGTCACAATTGCAGATTCACGCGGGACACAGCTGTGCGCGTGAGCATTACACTGTGGAGACGTGCAAGCGATTGATTAAAAGTCCTGTTTACCAGCACCTCCGGGCTCCGCTGGTCTGTGCGCAGCCAGGGATCTGGCGGTGGTCGTCGGAGGAGCTCAGGCCTGCGGGGGTCGGGCGGACCTGGCTCTGCGTCCTCCTGATGCTGGCATTAAACCCTGCCTGCGGCCCGAGGACCCAGGAACCTCGACGGCGTGGACCCCACTTTGGGTCACAACGCGCCCCCTGCAGGAAGGCCCGGAACAGCGGGGCTGCCTGGGGAGGCCGAGGAGAGGAGTGGGGTGCTTGCGGCCCAGTCAGGGTGGGCCGCGCCCGGACCCCCCTGGAGCAGTCGTGCGCACTTCTCCGCCCTCGACTCCTGACTGCGGGCGGTGTCCGTGGGAGCCGGGCGGGG